TTACATTTTTATTTAAATATACAGGCCAGTCTAACTTTCGTGAAAAAAGATCGAATAATTCCAATATTATTGGATCGGAAAGCATCGTCATAGACATTTTGAGTGACGACGTAAAGGAAAATACAATTATTACTCCTCCAATCCCGATTTCGTCGTCTAAGCGGTGCAGATCATGTTCTGTACCAATTGCGAGTGATGTTATCAATTTAACTCAAGATGATCGCATTCAACCCACTGTTGAAAAGAGAAAGCGTGGTCGTCCTAGAAAGATTCTTGGATCAACCTAAAGATTATTAGGTTATTTTTTTTAATATTAACATTAAAAATTATTATCGTCTTATTATAATGGAATATCTAATAAATTTATTTTATTTATATTTGCAGAATACTGGGACATGGGAGATGGAAACTACTGTTGCAAATATTCCGGAGCAAAGTTTTGGTACGAGGAAAGAAAATCTCATCGTCGGAAACCTGTTTGTCCGGATTATTCTGGATGTTGCTTTAATGTATTAGTAGAGCTTCCTTCTGTACGAGATCCTCCTCAATTTTTGAAACATTTGCTTCATGGAGATGGCCACATGAGCAAACATTTTCAAGAAAATATAAGATCTTACAACAACATGTTTGGTTTCACTTCAATGGGCAGTTAAATTGACGTGGATATCAATAAGGGGTCAGGACCACCTGTTTTTCCTTTGCACGAACAAAACTATCATCTGACTGGAAGTTTGTTGCCGACCTAAGGTTCTACTCTAAAGTTTGCGCAACTGTACATATATGATGCTAAAAATGAAGTTTCCAATAGAATTAATGTTGTGAGGTATATTATTTGTCTTTATACACATTTATTTGCCTTTTATTATGTCATTAGTATTTATTGTTTATATATATATATATATATATTGTATCTTATATAAAATGTTTAAAATAAAAATGACGGTTGTATTTTATTTATGCGGCAGGAAATGATGATACCAAATTGCACGAGGGTATTGTTGCTGGTTTGAAACAGATGCTAGACCAAAATAATGAATTGTTTAAATCATTTCGTATGGCGAGAGACAGAATGCAAGAGCTCGAAGAGGCTAATGTTAGAGTTCGTCTGATTAGACGGAGATATAACGATGCTAGACGGTACAACCTCCCAACCAGTTCTGAACTCGCTGTGTTGGTTGTTGGCGATTTTGACCAAGCCATGGGAGATAAAGACATCTTGGTTGAAACCAAAAGTGGTATTCTAAAGCGTATAAATGAGCTCAACGCTTCTTATCTGTCACTACAATATCCTCTATTATTACCTTATGGTGTGGATGGTTACCGAGAAGACATACTCTTCGCCGAAGGAAAAAAATCAAGTGAAGGTGGACGGCAACATGTCAGTGTCCGAGAGTATTGTGCTTTCAGGATGCATGATAGAGACCATGAACCGGCTAATATTGTTTCAGCAAGAAGACTGTATCAACAGTTTATTGTGGATACATATACCATGGTCGAATCATCGAGACTGCGATATATTCGGTTCAATCAAAAGAAACTCCGTTGTGAAATGTTTAACGGTTTGGTCGATGCCGTTCTTCGTGGGGACACAAAAGCCAGTTCCTGAGGAAAGAGGGTTATTGTTCCTTCTTCGTTCACAGGGGGTGCTCGGAATATGATTCAAAATTATCAAGATGCAATGACTATTTGTAGATGGGTCGGTCATCCTGATCTGTTCATTACTTTCACCTACAATCCAAAATGGTCGGAGATTGTTCGATTTCTTGAACCGAGAAAATTATGCCCAGAGGATCGACCAGATATTGTCTGTAGGGTCTTTAGATCAAAACTTAAAGAAATGATTAAGGATTTCCGTACGAAGGAGATATTTGGCAAGGTTATTGCAGGTGAGATATTATTGCATGGCAATTATCTTATAACAATCATTGTATTTGGACTGCTTAATTTAACCTTTAACGATCTATAACTTGAATGAGTGTTAATGATTTTGGTACATCATTTCTTGTGCAGTCGTCTACACAATTGAGTTTCAAAAACGTGGATTGCCCCATGTTCATATACTTCTGTTTTCCAAAACAGTTTGTCCAATCAACCACTGTTGATGAAGAAGGTTATCCTCGGTACAGACGGCGTGAAGATGGGAGGTCTATTGGCAAAAATGGTGTTGTTATCCACAATGGATATGTCGTGCCTCATAACTGTGGTCTTTTGATGAAGTTCGGAGCTCACATCAACGTGGAGTGGTGCGATCAATCACGATCAATAAAGTACCTCTTCAAATATGTCAACAAAGGCCACGATCGTGTGACGACATCTTTCTATCAAACGTCAGCTGAAGGGGAACCTGAAAAACCTTTGGATGAGATCAACATGTACTATGATTGCATGTACATATCTTCATGTGAGGCTGCATGGCAATTGTTGGGTTATGAGTTGCAATACAAAAAACCTCATGTTCAGCGGTTGAGTTTCCTTTGAAAGGAAAGCATCAAGTTTTTTTTTTTTTTACGATGATGATAATCTTCAATATGTTCTCGATAAACCATCTATAGAGGATAGCCAATTTCTTGCGTGGTTTGAGGCCAACAAAATATATACGTCAGCAAGGGAACTAACTTATGTTGAGGCTCCGTCGAAATTCGTTTGGAATTAAAAAACCCGCGAGTGGACTCCTAGAAAAAATAAAGACCAACCATCTATAGGTCGTCTGCGGTATGTACCATCTAGGTGTGGAGATGATTTCTATTTGAGGTGTTTGATAAATGTTGTTCGCGGTGCAATGTGTCATGAGGACTACATGAAGGTTGGAGATGCTCAGTATATTACATATCGAAATGCTTGCTATGAAAGGGGTTTGTTGGAGGATGATAGAGAGTACATAGACGACATCACTGAAGCAAGTCAGTGGGCATCCGCAGACTCTCTAAGACGCATGTTCGCATCGTTGTTGGTTTCTGGTTCGTTTGGTAGACCGGAGGAGGTATGGACAAGATGTTGGCAATCTTTGTCGGATGACATTCTTTACAGACTGCGACGACTGTTCAACAATGATGGTATTTTATTATATTAGTGATTAGTGATATTATATTCTACATATGATGTGCCTTGCATTTTTATATACAAATTTATATTCTTTTTAATTGTTGTGATACTAAATTATATTTTTTCAAAATTTAGGATTGTTGCTTACAGAAGAGCAAATCCAGAATCTAGCCCTTGCTGAGATTGAGTATTCATTGTGACGGCGTGGAGCAAGTCTTAGTGATTATTCTACTATGCCCTTTCTTGATAGCGATAGTATGCAATCAAATTTAAATCGTCTGATTTTGGATGAGTTGAGCTACGATCGAAAGGCTCTTGCTGTTGAACATGCTATGCTTCTTGAAAAAATGACTGACGAACAGAAGAAGTCTACTCAACAATTATGTCGTCCGTGGATTCTGATCAAGGCAGTGTTTTTATGGTGAAATGGGAAAAACATATTTGTGGAGAACGTTATTTGTTGGGTTGAGATCCAAAGGTGGTATAGTGTTGTTTGTTGCATCGAGCGGAATAGCATCACTTTTGTTGCCTGGTAGACGAACTGCTCATTCTCGATTTGGCATACCATTGAATCATCACGAGGACCCTTCTTGCAATATCAATTAGGGATGCCCTCTCGCGAAGTTGATAATACGTTCTTCTTTGATAATCTGGGATGAGGCTCCAATGATGCACAAGCATTGCTTCGAAGCTGTACAGACATCGTTGCAAGATATTATGGGAGCAATTGATCCTTCTAACAAGGACAAACCATTTGGAGGTAAATCAGTTGTTTTTGGTGAAGATTTCCCTCAAATTCTTCCTGTAATTCCGAAGGGTAGCCGTCAGGACATAGTGAAGCTGCGATTAATTCTTCTAACATCTGGAGGAGTTGTACTGTGCTCAGGCTTACCAAAAATATGTGTCTTCAGGGCCTTGAAGATTTCGAGGAACGTGAAGAGGTTGCTCGGTTTGTTGAATGGATTGCGAGCATTGGTGATGGAACTATAGGAGGGTCAAACAATGGTTGTGCAATGATTGACATACCTGAGGATATATTGCTTCAACCATCTAATGTCCCGATTGCTCAAATTGTAGAAAGCACGTATCCAATGTTTAAGCAGACAACCAATGATCCGAGTTATTTGAAGGACAGGGCAATATTAGCACCGACGCTTGATGTTGTTGAGCTTATCAGTGAATACATGACTCGTTGAATTTATCATATGGTAATACGTACTTGAGCTCCGATAGTACTTGCAAGTCTGACTCTAATAATGATTTTCTTTCTGATATCCATACGCCCGAGTTCTTGAATAGCATCAAATGTTCGGGAAGTCCAAATCATCAGTTGCATTTGAAGATTGAAACCCCGGAACCCCTGTCATGTTGTTGCGGAATATGAATCATTCTATGAGTTTATGTAATGGGACACGGTTGGTTGTGACAAAACTATCCACTCATGTTCTTGAGTGTAAAATACTCTCTGGGGACCACGAAGGCGAGAAGGTGTTGATTCCTAGAATGGTGATAACTCCTTCCGATGTTAGAATTCCTTTCAAGTTCCGGAGGCGACAATTTTCCATTATGGTATCGTATGCCATGACTATCAACAAGAGCCAGAGACAATCGTTATCGCATGTTGGTTTATTTCTTAAGAAGCCGGTATTCAGTCATGGGAAATTATATGTTGCCGCCTCCCGTGTCACCAATCGAAGTGGGTTGAAGATATTAGTTTGTAATGACGATGACTTTCTACCAAGTCAGACCCAAAACGTTGTGTACAAAGAAGTATTTATTAATTTATGAAGTTTTAAATTTATTTTTGTCCATTTTACATTTTTCATATATCTACAAAGTGTATTAAATTTAATGTTAATATTAAAAAAAATTAAAAAAAATATACCAATCCCGTACATCGCACGAATCAATACGAGTTTTATTCATATATGTGGAAATGCAGATCTAGAATACTAGTAATTTACCATAGGCGAAAAGGCGAAAGGGGATGGCAAAACAAAAGGCAATAACAGCATTTACTTTGTCCCTGCTTTATTATTATTCTTTGATTTGATAAAATGCGAACCAATTTTACATTCTTGAATTTGGGCACTGCCTTCTGACAATCGCCGGCGGACCCTCGTCGTTGTCTTCTTCCCCCGTTCGGAAGCTCTCCCATTTCCCAGATATCGACAAGGTAGCTGACATATATTTGTTTTCTTTCTTTATTTCCCTAAAAATTGTGAGTGGATGATATTTGAAAATTGAGCAAGTCTTTTTTCAAATGCGCTCACACACATGAAATGTTACATTTTTTATTGGTGGAATCCGCGAACAATAATCTTCTTCTCTAGTCAAATGTGTTGAAATGTTCTGAATCTGTTGATTATCCGATGTTTATGAAGTTGGGTTCTGGGGTAAATGTGAAATTTCTCTCGGTCGGTGCGTGATGTCTCAAACTTTTAAGAATCGGAAACCCAAAATGAAGAATGAGATATGTGATTAGTCTCTTCAACTGATAATGGGAAAACGAGTACTGTGATCTGGGGGTTTTTCAGATGAACCAGAAAGAATTTGTGCACCCACCTTCTCTGCTTGCGTCTGCTATATGTACATGTTTTCATCTTTTTATTTGATATTGCAAGTCTGTTCAAGTTAATGTTTGAGGGATTTCAATTTTATTACTCGCCTGTGATGTTTGTTTTTGAAATGTCCGGAGCCTTCATCACAGAACTCTCTGTAACTGTATAACATCATCCTTGTGTTCATGGTTACATACCTATCCAGGTGTCCATTACCGAATAAAGTATTATAATCTGAGAAAGCAAATAATTTTGAACTGGGGATTCACTGGTTAAAATGATTGAGAACTTAATAATAAAGATCATGGTCTGGATTTTGGTCTTCCGGGTAGATCTTGGTTTTCTGCTTGAGGTTCTACCCTGAAGGCAGAATGTATCACTCCTTCACCGGAAAAGGCTTTATCAACAGCTTTGATTGTTGATTGTGCTGCATGATTTTGTTGTATTAAACTTTAGGAGCTAAGATGTTTACCAAGTCCAAAAATTATTATCATTTATTGTTTGCAATGGAATCAAAACTGATCTTCTTGAATAAGTGCACCAAAATAAGTACTCTTTCGTTCATGGTGAAAGTATTCAACTACTCATAAATATGCTAAGTTATTCTTCTTACTTTCCCATTGGATGCTCTTGTGATGTACTGGTTTACCTTTAAACTCTACGTAATCTCTAAGTTCCCTAAATTCTTTATGCATTATCTGGAAGGTAATGGCAGGAGAGGAAGGTATTCACATGCCTTCTCCGAAATCGCAGTTTGACCAAACACAAGTCAACTGGAAACAGGAGATAGAGAGAAGCCATTCTCAACTGGATGCCTTGCAAGAGAAGCTTACAGAGGTAAAGGCTTGCATAAAAGGGTCAGAGGCAGATGCAAAGAAGGAAGTAAACGTTCTCTGGCGTAGGGTCAAAACTTGTGCAACATTGTTGACTTACTTGAAATCCAAAGCCCGAATTATGGCTGTCCCACATTTATCCCACACATCTTGTGGTATAAAAAATTTAGACGGTGTGGGTTTTGTAGACAGAAATGGTGTGCCATTGTCCGGATGGTCAAGGAATGTTGATATTTCGTCCTTTGACAGTGCCGATGAGGAAACATGGACGGCACTTAGCAGTCGGGAGGGTTCACTTGACGAACATGATGGGGTTTATATTAATGAATTACTCAAGAGTGTCCAAATGGTTGCAGATGTAATGGAAACCCTTGTCAAGAGAGCTATCATGGCAGAATCTGAAATGGCCACCGAGAAGGAAAAAGTGGTGGTTGGGCAGGAAGAGATTAAGAAGAAGACAGTTCAGATCGAGAATATGTCTGTAAAATTGGAAGAGATGGAACAATTCGCGATGGGCACAAATAGCGTCTTGAATGAGATGAGACAAAGGGTTGAGGATTTGGTTGAGGAGACATCTAGGCAGAAGCAAAGAGCTGTAGAGAACGAGCAGGAGCTTTGCCGTGTAAAACAAGACTTCGAATCCCTGAAATCTTATGTCAGCACTCTGATTAGCGTGAGGGAAACACTGCTTTCTTCGGAGAAGCAGTTTCAGACGATTGAAAAGCACTTTGAGCGGTAAGTTTATTTTATTTTTGTCATTTTTCTTTGGTCTTCGAGTGCCTTACCTTTTTCCTTTTAATTGATGCTTGCGTTTTGTTATTTGTCATGGTGATATATATTGTTTCTGTTATTTTTTCTTAATTTTTTGGCCTTGTTTGGATGTTAGCGGATTGAATAATATTAGTGCATTGAACCTCATTTCAAGGTTTGACCTGTCAAATCCGCTAATTAACTTGGTTGGTAAAGAGCCTATTTGATTCGCTTTTTGAGCCCAAATCGCTAATTCTGAAATAGGTCATTGTAGGAGCGTTTTGAGAAGAGAGGATTAGCAGATAATATAAAATTTCCAAAATAGTTATACAATCCAGTTATTTACAAACAACTAATATAATCAGCTATTGCAATACAATCAGCTATTCGCTATCAGCTAATTACCAAACAAGACCCTTATTTTTTTGGCATTGTTTTCAACTCCTATTTCTGTCAATATTACATTGTGTTAAGTTGTTTTGCAATGTTATTGTACTTTATCTGTTTATCATGGAGTTCCTCTTCATGTTATCATTTTGCTGCAAAGTTATTAAATCCTTGTTAACTTTTCTGAAATGGCACGAGTGCTGGACATTCAATGTTCTTTGTTGTTGGCCTCTTAAGACAACAATCTTTCTTTTTCTCATTTTTCCACTCTTTCAACACATGCATTTTTAAATATACAAAATAAGCTTTTTGTAATTAGCTATAGTGATTCTCATTCTAATTCAATATCAGACTCAATAAATCAATAGTCTATTATTAATCCATGCAGTTAGAGATACTAGTTGCCATGGAATTACCATATGGTCTGAGTGTTATTGGCACGATAAGTTCCCTTTGCTTTTCACAGTTCACATAGTGAAGACTTTTTTCACCCAGTAAGTATCGGTAAATGCTTGCACGTATTTGTTAGACGGGGAGGATCAGGAAAAAAAAACTATTATATACATCTGATGTAGTTGAGATAGTTATATTTTACTCGATCAGTTTTTTTAATATTTGCAGGTTGTAGTCATTTTTTTAATACATTTACAAACTTATATCGTGATTATTTGAATAACCAACTCAAACTGATATAGTGATATTACATTTTCAAATGCTTCCGAGGCACAGCTTTCTGGTTGCAATGAACTCGAACCAAGACACAATCTTTAATCTAATGCTAGAAAACCCACAGCAGCAAAGAACTAAAAATGTCATGCGCTTCCATAAGCACCAATATCCTACCCTTTAGACTGAGAGAATCAAACATCCTTAAAAAACTTGCAACAGCCAACGGTCAAAATAATGTTGCACACTATGTAGCCACCTCAGACTCTTCAAAATTTATTTTGTGGTTGTCCTATCAATGAAAGATTAGAAGGAAAATTCATAAAATTGGCCCAATGAAAGAGACATGAAATCTTTAGGGACTCATGGCAAGTCATTTGGGTTGCATCCACGAGAAATGGTACTTTGGCAACAACATAGGGAGGTCGTGTGCTATGTCTTACTGATTATCCAAATGTTAACACCATTAAATTAATAATAATTTACTCCTTGGAATCTTGCTTGTGGGCAGGCAAATTCAATTATAATAAGGATTAGTAGGGGAGAGGCCTAATTTTTNTTTTTTTTTTTTTTTTTTTGTTCTTCTTTGTCAATTGTATTTGTTTGACCTTGAGAAAGAGGTCATGTTTTAATTTTGTAAACTCAGTTGACTAAAGAAAATTTTGGTTCTCTGTTATGGACAATATGGAAGCAGAACACATGGTTGCCTACTATAAGAATGTTAAAAGGCCAGTAAGTTAATTTGACTTGATTTCAAAGTGGGTAATTAATTATGCTGATGAGTATTAAAGTCATTTTTAATTGTGATGAATTACGTGAGTGTTGCGTTGTATACGGTCATAGCTTATCTCTTTTGACATGTTGGAAACACTTCTTAAATGGACTTTTGGATGCAAAAATCCATTCGAATCAATAATGGACTTATGGGAAACAAGAGATGAGATTAACCAGATCTATATTTCAGGCAAAAATAAGACTCTTAGTGACAGCCATGTTTTACCTTTTATCAAATTATTCTTGTATAATAGGCAAGATTACTAATTATTTCTGTACCTAGTGAGTTTCTGATTTCAGTCCATAACTCTCAATGTCCCAATTTAAATCCTTGATGCTTATACCCTTCATTTGACGAACAATGCAACTTCATGATCGCTTACAAAGTCAATTTTAGCTTCATAACTTCCAATGTAATATTTTGTTTTTCTTCTTAAGAGTAAATGTCTTAGTTCCTTGGAGAAATAAGATAATCTGTTATGACCATAAGTACCATATTAGGTTCTT